ACATAAACATTACATCATTAATTATTTAATTAACCAAAAAATTATATCTTTATTAATAACAAATTAATTCTTAAACAAAACTATTAAATATAAACTAGGCAAACGTGCATTGCACGTTGCTTGCACCTAGTGTGTGTGTGTATATATATATATATGTGTGTGTGTGTGTGTGTGTGTGTGTGAAAAACTTTGAATATGAAAAACTTATGAAAAATCCAACTTTTTTCATATTTGTGGTTATTTTTCTTCATTTAGTTCGCTCAGGTTAGAAACTGTAAATTTATAGTATAAAATGTTGTTTGGCGGTATATATTTGAGTTTAAACTTGTACACTATGATTTAAATTTGAGTTTAAATTGATTTTGGATTTAAATTCTAAGTCTACATTCTTCACCAAGGGTCAATCATAGTCGATGAGGACTGACTACTCATCCACTTTGGGGGATCGGTGAGGAACAACACCTTGCAGCTTGCGAGGTTTGTTCCTCATTGACCCCTTAGAACCAGTGAAGAACTCATTTCATTGACATTGCTTAATACTTTATGTTCAAAATTTGTTTATGTAAGTTACTAAAATTCATTTGTTATTGTAGGATGTAGTACACATAGACAATAGAGTGAGTAGATTTTCAAGGAAGGTGACATCAAATTATAACATCGAAAGTATTAAAAAAGTATTAGACACACAAGATATCGATAATAAAGAGAATGTTGGGAGGAGATCAACAGATGAGCTAAAGATCAAACAAATAAATGTAAGCAAAAAATAACAACAATCAGAAACTGAAAGCCTAAGAACATTAAACAGAAAACTCGAACAAGAAATCAACTCAAGAAATGACTGAAAACTAAGTACAGGAACTTATCTTCATTATAAAAGCCCACAGGCTAAAGGTTCATACAATCCTTACTTCAATCAAGACTGAACACCACAACGTTCGAATCAAACCCCAAGGTAAGTGAGAAACACGATTTCAGCCTCTTCAACTTACGTTTTCTGTTCCATTTAAAAAACACAAGCTGGGCTTTAATTTATAATCCAGCTGGGCCAACTTCAATAGGTCCAATGGGCATTGCATCATTGTGCCATTTCCTTTCATACTCCACCTTGGTACAATGATTCTCACAAATCAGTGGTTGTCCATTTATCACAGATATCATCAGCACACATTACAGTATCTACAGATCAGTAAGGTACCACATTTAGCAAGGTCAAGCAATCCAGAAATTTGTTTAAAAGCAGTACTTTAGTACCTACATCAGCAGGGTTGTAATTA